ACGGTTCAAAACCGCGGGGGAGGGGGGGGGGGGGGGGGTCGAGGCGGTGAGCACTGGAAAAGTTGTTGGTGGCGGAGGGGAAAGTCCCGAAACTACGATTAATAGAGATATTCCAGGCGAGAAAATACTCAAAATTATCCAAAGAGTGGGGAGGGGGGGTCGTCGTGGCGGTCCGGACGGCAGAAGGACATAACTCTCACACTTCGTGGATCATACGCGTACAAGAAGAACTTGCCGACTGCGTGGATTGGAGGTTGTAGTGACGGCGAAGAATCGTCAGCAGGACGATACGGCAGTAGGCGAATAATTCGAATATTGTCAGCAGCCATAATCACGTCGCTATCGCACCCAACGGGCGGTGTTCACCGTGAGCGATGACGCAACACACGCGTTTTTAGAGTGACTTCCTGCTGCTGCGCAAGTGAAACGAAGGTGCTGCAGACGAGGCGGCAGCGGGGGCCACGGCGGTACCATAGGATGCGAACAGTCAAGAGAGGAAGGCAATGCCAATCATGCAAAGCAAGCGGGGAGGTGCAACATTTCGAAATTCATGTCCGCCCAAATCAACCTTCACGGGCGAGGTCCAGCGGGGGGTACATGGGTAAACCAGAGTTTGGCGGTGGCAGGTACTCGAGGAGGCACAACGAACGAAGCAATGTTTCTTCGCCGCACAAACTTTGCCCTCTTCTTGTCACAACTGCAAAACGCTGCTCGAGGTCAACAGCGCATTGCTTCCATCACCCCGAGGCTGCGTCACCCACCAAGATACACCAGGAAGTGATGCACAGGTACAGCAGTAGTCTAAATCGCAGCAATATTGATTAAGCAAACATATGGGATAAAGTGCAAGTATTCAATCCGTGCTTTCGGGTTAGGGTTCGGGTTAGGGATACGGTCTGCGTGCCCCCTCCCTAATCTTCTTCATGTACAGTAGATACTCTTAAGATCCTGAATAGGAGGTCTGAGAGGTACCGTTACGAATTTTCCACAGACCCGAAGAAGCGATGCTCGCATCCCACATGAAGCCGGGAACCTATGCGTGCGTTGCGACAAAGATCCAGATCTTCGCCAACATGACGTAGGATCCACGGTGGTAGAATAGACAGTCTCTTTATCACCTGGGTCACAAAGATATGACTTTCCAGGATTCGCTTCTGCCGTATGGTACGCCAGAAATTCACCACAGGACACACAAGCGCGGGTGGCCTTGGGCACACCCGGCTATTATAGACCCATGCCGCTGCCGTTTGCTGGTGTCTCTACGGGGGCGGGGATGTTCAGATCGTGCCCCCTCGAAAAAGCTTTGCCCTATTCCCTTCAGCCGCTGCCGAACTAGCCCTTATCATTGCCGGAAACACGACGACAACCGTACTATGTATTCACGCCTTGTTCATACTGTGTTTTTGTGGCCATGGCTTGCGGCCCTACACCCCCATGCGCCATCTTTACCAAAAGTATGACATGATGTAAAAAAAAGGGAAATAGACATAAGTGGGTATACCCACCCCTTTCTCGGACAAAAGTGGGTACTCGAAAATCCAGCGCGCGCACACTCCATAGGCGACCCCCAAACGACTCAAAACCCCATTCTGACACCTGGGCGACACAGCCATGGACCATACACAGCACGGGCATCGATTTGATGGGCACACGGGCATGATGCGCGTCTTTTTGTGATACACCCGCACCTCGACGCATTTTCATTGGCCAGCATGGTCGACATGCAACACATGGCTTGACGTATTCTCAACACGCGAGAGCCTGACTGAGGCGGCACGGTATGCGGGATCATCGCACGATCCGAAGGGAGAGTTTTGCTACTGCTGTAAATTACCCCCACAGCGTGAGGAACGTGTATGCGGGAAGATTGTTCCATACTGCCCATCTGCCCATCAACAACGTCCCGCGGGGAGAACTAAATAGCCCGCGAGGTCCGGAGGGACATGGAATTTGGCGTCCTTTCGCCCACAGGAAACTAGCCGGGAGTGCGGGCTACTGCTGCTGCTACAAGTAGAGTGCCAGGGTGCCGTGTCACGGCGGGCGAAAAGGGGAGCGAAATTCCGCGGGTGGTTACTTACATACAACACGTTCATCATGTCTCATCTGGAAGATGCCGCTGCTATTGGTGCAAGCAGTATCCTAGGATAGGTAGAGACGTAGAGTGACGAATCGTGGCGTCGACAAGAAAGCCAGTAGAGCTTCGTTACGAAACAGCCGGTATCCAGAGGTGCCGAACGTCTTCTTAAGTGTTCGAAAGAGACGTTCACAACAAGGTCGAATCTGGCAATGTGTCCATACTGCTGTATGTCTACATATGCATATGGATGCCTGCGGTAGATTGTTTGACTGCACAGAACGTTCTCCGTTATATGGTCTGCGCACCTCTCGTCCCGCGATTCCAAATACTACAGCTGCTTGTGCACCATTTTCCATCTCATCAAATACTGTACTGCTGCTAAGCGCTGACACATCAACCATGTACGTAGATCAAGGAAGACCAAAAGGGACACACACAGCAAATGCGCCCATTTTCAGAACCAGGGCTATCTGCTGACCCAGTGCCAGACACGCGAACAGACCTTGGGGCTGAAAGCCGTCTTGGAAGAATCTGTGGCCTCCGCCATCGCTGCCGTTGACCTGAAGCTGCTGCTGCTGGTGTTGTGAAAAAGCGCTGCGGCTCCTGCGGCTCCGGCGAGTGCTGCTGCTGTGTTAGCGACGGGGGCTCGCAAATGCCTGATGTGCAGTGTTCTGGCGGCTGTGGAAAACATACGGACAACGGAGAGCTCTACGGGATGTTTTATTTTTTCCCCCGGTGGTAGAACCCGACCCCTCCGTCGCTTTCGATGTTGGGGGGTGACGGGAAACGCGATGGGGGGGGTCCATCTGCCACTGTTCCCCCTAGGCGTGCACTGCTCGGTGTGTGTATCTCACTCATCTTGGAAGCCATGATCTCGAGCGGTACCTTCCCCGAGATAGCTAGGTGGTGGAGAAGAGAGAGGAACGCTGCCGGGATAACACCTCTAGCGCCCCAGGACGATGATCGTGGTTTCGGTGGAACACCAGTGTCAACCGACCCTAGGACTCTCCTGCTCAGGGTAACCCGGTGAGTGAGTTTTCAGCATGTGCGGCATATTATGGAAGCATGGAAGCAGCAGCAATGGAGTGCGCGGGTATGACTTTTCGGCAGAGCACCCATAAACCAACACCAGGAACGCGGAGTTTGTAATGCATCAATTGGTGCGCCTGAAGAAAAACTAAACTATACCAGGCCTGCTCCTTCATATATACCGTATATGACACAAGATAACACACCCCCTGGACCGATTTTCAAAGCTCGATTTCTCAACAGCCAGGAAGAGTCACAGCGCCGAAAACGGCGGCGTTGGAACCGTCTCGTCGAGAGCTGTTCGAAAACGTATTGTTTCATTTATGCATCCTCTTCGTCGTGGAGTAATCGAGCTTTGAGAATCGGTCCAGGGGGTGTGTTATCTTGTGTCATATACGGTATACGGAAAGATCCTGCAGCCCTGTTTAGACCCTTCTTTATGGAAACATAATCTTGCAATTATATCTTAGCATTTTGACCCAAGATTTGCTCACAATATATCTCCGCGAAGATTTGCAGTATCGCGATTTATGCGGGAAATATCTTGAATGTTGAAAATGCGGCGTGTTGTTCCTCTCTTCTGCTTGCTTGAAGTTGAAAAAGGCACAACGGCCACTTGGTCCACAGAAAATGCCAAGGTGTGGCGAAAAGTGAGCATGACGCAGTTGTCGAAGGGACATCCCTCCCCCAACTGTATTGCCTCAACACTGTGGGTGGATACTCGCCATGGGCGCCTACCTGGGGTGCAAAATAGAAGCCGTTGCCCACGAGCTCATGTCAAGCGGAGAAACAAAACTGTTCCATTGCTGTCCAACTGACAAGAAAGTGCATCAACCCGAGGCCGATGACACCCATGCACGTATCTCATCATGTAGCAGGCGTACCGAGGTCAAACCTCCGGCACTGTCATCTGCACCCACGGATTTGGCTCGGGTGCAAACGGATTGGGTGTGGGGTGATTCGATGAAGAGATAGAAGCGTCGCACACGACAGAGCAGTGTTGGCAAAACGTTCCTCCTGCTCTATTTTTCTACTTCAAAATAAAGTACTCTTTGAACGGTCCCTCGACAGACTGGTGATGACGCACGTGGAACGAGTCAGGGCAAATACGCATTTTTTTCGCGCGCCTTGGTTGTTTTCGTTCGCTGTCGGCGCCCGTGGCGCCGACACAGTGACGCCAGGGTGCGTTAGAGACCCTTGCGAGTGTGCCACGTGCAGATTTCATGGCGTTATGGAGGATTAGGTTGACTGACCTTCGGTGATCGCGCCGCACTGAGGCAAGATGTGTTACGCCGCCTCAAGATTTGTCGGAAGGCTCGACTTGACAAATCTTGGCCAAGATTTGTTCGAAAGGGCAGATTTCGGGCCTCGAGAAATCTTGGCCAAGATATATCGGAAGATTTTGTTCCCATAAATCGTGAAACTGACAGATCTTGGCCAAGATCAAGATTTATCGACAAGATTTTGTTCCCATAAACCGGGGTCTTACTGTAGCATCTTGTTGTTCTCAAAGTTCTCTATCGTTCTCGAGCAACAAAGTCTGGCAGATCTATATGAATCTCGCTGCTGGATCAGAGATCGCTGCTTGAATTGCGCAGTCCGATTCTTCCACGCTTTTTCAAGAAGTTTGCGGGAGCTGGTTTGCTGGTTTACGGACCACAAAAGCCATATATATATGGGGTGTTTGATTTAATTAATTGTTTTTGGGTTTGGGGAGTACATATAGGGCAATTTTTTTGTAAGACACGGAAGAACTTCTAACAATTATCTATGTTTTAGAGGGGTAGAGCCGGGTAGATGCCCATCTCCCACCAATCACCCGTCGATTTTGTAAGACTTTTCGACAGAGCACCCATAAATACTGTGGGGCAATTTTTTTGTTAAGACACGGAAGAACTTCTAACAATTATCTATGTTTTAGAGGGGTAGAGCCGGGTAGATGCCCATCTCC